TTTTTTTGTCTTCCAGCAAAAGATTCAACTCACCTCTTGCATTTCTGTTAAAAATTTTTTTTTCTTGCTTTTGAATCAAATAACAATGTTGTTTGTTGGCTTGAATTTTAGGCCTAGTCCACAAGTAGCCGGGTTTTTTTTAAACGAATATCCGCCCCTCCAAAAACTTGCATCCACACCACCTCGTTAAAAAAAAAAACAGTCCACACGTACCCGGATAAATACGTTGTTAAGGACATGCCAGACCTGTAGGTGGCAGTACTTCCCCCGTTCTTAACCTCGTCCTTCGTCTGTGGTCTTCCACAAGGAGCAGTAATTCCGCTTGCAAAAACAAACGAGCAAAAAGCGCTTGGACAATTGATAAAGCGAGCGCAGCTCTGAGGGCATCCATGCTGTCGGCTAGTGTAAACACAGGTCGCACACGTGATGTCAGCATTTTTTTGTCGCGGAAAGTGACGCTGCGGACCTTAAAACTCCGGTTTTGTCTGTTCACACGCAGACACCCAAAACGGAGAAAACGCAGATCTTCACTTTGGCCGGAGTTTTTAAAAAGATCCGTTTTCGTGTGAAAAAAACTCCGTTTTCGTGTGGATGACAGGCCAAAACGTAGAAAAATATCTATGTCTTGGCAGATCCCCGGCTATGTGTGGACAGGGCCTCAGAGTTAGACTTTTAGATGTTAAAGATTATTTATTAATAAATAATGAGCCCAACTGTCAACAAGGACGAAAATAACGACTGACTTCTAACCCTGTAAAGTTTGTGTGTGTGTGTGTGTGTGTGTGTGTGTGTGTGTGTGTGTGTGTGTGTGTGTGTGTGTGTGTGGTCGTCAGTCGTCGTTTAGAAGACGCCGACTGTCAGCGGCTTTAGGACCATTTTAAGCTCTCATTCATGCTCAGATGCAGATTCTCCGGTGCAGAAACTTCTTATCAGGTTAAAACTTCCCCTTATGTCGTAAGCTTTGTGCACTTTTGTAAAAATCATGGAATAAATCTTCTCAACCTTAAAATGTGATGAATTTTTGGACCAATAACAGCTTTTTGTAGAAAATTTGAAAAAAAAAATATCATAAATCATATAATTTCCCATGAGCAGGCTTGGTAAGATTGCTGTTGCTGCACATAGAAAGACATCTGAGACGATATTTGAGAGAAATGCTTTTAAAAACGATGCAATAACTTTTTGTTTATCTAATACTTGAGACTGACAAGTCGCTGAAATGACAGAGTGACAGTAAGCAACTGCCACAGACTGAATTCAAACCAACATGGTTGTGGTATGCGTCTCAGCATGCTGAGCCACCAGGACGCCTGATCTGGTCTTTGAAGCCTCGGCGGGTTCCCTGAGGCCAAAGGAGCGGTAGTCGTGGGGGTATCAAGTGTGCTGGAGCTGCCCCACTAATAAGATAAGTAGGCTAATGCTAGCGCTGGAGAGGCGCTTCTCATCTCAATCTGTCCTGTTTAACGGTCTCACCGGACTAGTTCTCAAATTTAAATGCAGGACGCCTGTTGATGGAGTGAAGAAGTGCAGCGTGAGTTATTGTCTGTGTGAGACGGCCGGGGAACCGTCCATGTGTGTGTGTGTGTGTTGGTGGAGAGTGTGCATGGGTGAAAGCAATCTAAGACGCTGGCTAAGTCTTATGGAACATCAGTTGACACTAGAAAAATACAGCTGCCAATAAATCTCTGACAACAGTCGCGGACTCGCATTTCAACCCATGATTTATCCGAGTTGTTCCTTTTAGACTCGCTGTTTGAAATCCACTCTCTCTGCAGGTCACTTGTACAATTTACTTTTTAAATGTTAATATAGAGAGAAGGAGGACGTGTCCTCTCTGCAGGTCAAAGAGGAAAGCAGCTGAACATCTTTTCGTTATTAATTCCAACTGGAAATCCACGCATGTCTCTATGAAAAACAAATCAATGATTCATTTTGGATGTTATTATTTAAGCATTGATGCAAACAGCGGCTGCACTGAAAATGCCAAGTGTCTGCTTGAAAACTGGGCTTAATTGAAATTTGTGTGTGTTAAGGTGAAAGCTATTACTCTCATTCAGTCGCTATTGATCTTCAGCTGCAGCTCTGATGAGTTCCTCCCAGTGTTTATTAGACTGGGAGGGACTGGTTGGGACATAACGTCTATTTTCCTTAACAAACATGGTTTGAAAAATCCCATCAGGTGTCTTAATGGTTCAGTTTGCTTCTACTGTGTACATTCAATTAAATAAAAAGATATATATATTTTTATAACACACGGATCTATTACATTTCCCCTAAAGATATTTTGGCCCGATACACTTTCAGAAGTTGCTTTCGATGCATCACCACTCTAATCATAATCACACTGCTCCATTACATCAACTTTATAGGTAAACAACAGGTGTTTGGAACAAAATCAGATTAATATCAGCAACAAGCTAGAGCTGGGTGATGTTTCTGTCTCATAATAGGATTAGATTAATTAAGATTTAGCTTAAGTTTATGCTGCATCTGTTTTGATTTCATGTCATATCGTTCCTCGTGTTTTTAATGGAACTTTGGTAATTTTACTGAGAATTATTTTCAAACAAGTACTTAAAGCTGAACAGAATGAACATCAGCGCAGCCTATGCTAGTTAAGTTAAAGTCCCAATAGTTGTCACACACACTGAAGTGTGTGCAACATTTGTTCTCCGCATTTGATCCATCCCCTGGGGGAGCCATGAGCTGCAGACACAGCCACGCTCGGGAACCATTAAGTTGGGTGGAGGGCATTGGGTCCCATTTTTTCAAAGTCTTTGATAGGACCCAACCAGGATTTTTGAGCCCTGACCTCCCACTCATACCACTAGGCCACTGAGCTGGTTTGTTTGAGGGAGCTAAAGGGGACGATAAAATCACGGACTGATGATGACCTGGCTTTGTTGCTACAGGACTCGCAAGTAATAATAGTTGTTGTCCGACAGAGTCGATCTTCTTACCTCGTGGCTTTTTGTGGATCAGTTGGCTCATGTTAATGTTAGCTTGTTGTTAGTGCTAGCTACAGAAGGCAGCAGCTGTTTTGTTTGCAACAGTTCAGCTTAAACCAGTCGGAAGGAGAAGCGGGAAGTGTTGCTTCAAGAATTAGACCACATCGGCATAAACGCTGATATCGAACATTACTAGAATAACCATTAGTCTGAGTCTATGATTACTTCTGATGTACTGCTGCATGGTGGCGCAGTGGTTAGCACTGTTGCCTCGCAGCACGAAGGTCGCAGGTTCAAAACTCGCCTTTCTGCGTGGAGTTGCGTGTTCTCCCCATGCATGCGTGGGTTTCCTCCGGGTACTCCGGTTTCCCCCACAGATCACAACATGCCCTATAGGTTAAAAAAAATAATTGTACGTCGCTTTGGATAAAAGCGTCTGCGAAATGAATAAACTTAAACATAACATAAACATTTAGAGTTGCGATTTCTTCATGATCACGGGAACACCAGAACTCTTAAGGCATTCAGATTCCTGCCATCACCTCTCGTCTCCACTCTGAGACAACTAGGAAGCTGCCGTGAGAGAGTGAGGAAGCTGGCACTACATAGTAAGCGCCTCAATTACAAATGTTATCAATCCCAGGAAAAGAGAGCTTACACTGGTGTCTGTTTTTCTCATTAGCTGCAGTGGCGCGGCAACTAGAGGACAGGACAGTTTGTAGATAGGAACGTGCTTTTCCAAGTGTACGTGTCTGTCCTATAAATCTCCACTGAGCCATCTTCCTTTAAATATCCTATCGCCTTCGGTGCTTCTTTCTCGCCGTTCCTTGGTATCTTGACTCCGTGCCCTCTGCAAAACCTTAAGAACCTAATCGTCTCAAATTCAGCCCACTGAAATAATTAAGGGGTTGCATGCCGCCAAAAATAAGAGTGTGTGTATTTTTGTAGTCGGGAGGGGACATATGTTTGGAGTCTTGGGATGCCAGGATGCCTCCAGCTAGGTTCAACTTGTTAGGAAAACTGGGTATTGCCTTACACTTCCGTTGACATGACTGCAGTATCAGTGGCAGGGGTGTTTAAGTTGTCAGCCCCCTGGGTGGGTGGGAGCATGTTTACAGAGATGTTCTCACAAACATTTTCCCAGCTCAGCACAACAGACAGAAGGGCATCTACAGGTATGTGTAGTTTTCTGCTACTTTGCACGTCAACATGAATGAAGTGAAGGAGTAAAATGATGACTTTTTTTTGTTAGCAATTATCAGAAAAAAATTCAATTTTACTCACTTTACGAAGAGATCCACTTGGGATGTTTGCTTAAAAACATTTTAGGAGTTTGTAAGATCCTTCATTTGCAGCGTGCAGAACAAATGACCCTTTCCCACAATGCTTTGCAGCAGGCTTCCTGTTAAAATGACTGGAAAACTGCATATGTTTTAGTTTTATATCATGCATGGGTGAAAATCAAAGGAGCGTTAGGTAAGCTGTGAGGGCTAATGCATGCAATGTTTCAGGGATTGTCTCTGTTGGCATTTAAAACAACATAAAAGAAGTCTGTGTGTTTGTTTATGCGTTCCAAATCACTTCTATGCATGCATATTTAGCAGAAATGTGTCAGGCACGTGAAGAATAGCTGTAGAATACGCATCATGGATTTTCTATTCTTGCACAAAGCACACAAATAATTCTTGTATTATGGCCTCTATCATAAAAAAACCTTTTACAAATAATCCATTCAGAGTCAAAAACTGTTTAAAACAAATGCAACAAAAGATTTCATTTTTATACACACATATATATACATACACACATATATATACATACATACATATATATATATATATATATATATATATATATATATATATATATATACATATACATATAGATATACATATAGATAGATAGATAGATAGATAGATAGATAGATAGATAGATAGATAGATAGATAGATAGATAGATAGATAGATAGATAGATAGATAGATAGATAGATAGATAGATAGATAGATAGATAGATAGATATAGACTAAAAGCCCAATAATTTTAAAGGTCCGATGTAGCAACGTCAGCTTAAATATTACTTTTAGTGTAAATAGGAGAAAGCACGCATAATGGAAGCGCCAGTTCAGAATTAATCACCTAGTTTTTGAAACTATTTCACAGAAAAAAGTGTGTCAGTGATTTTAAAACTTTTAAAATCATAACTCTGTAATTCATTCAAAATGCTCTTTGCATAAAAGCACATCATGGGTTATATTTTTACAGATTATCGCTCACAGAAAGAAAAAAAATAGCCAGAGAATGAGCGGATAAGCAGACATATTGCACACACTGGATCCCCATGTACTCACGATTCATAAGCATGCAGACCAGAGAGCAGGCGTCCTTTTGTTAGAGCGAGAATGGGAAGTGTGAAGGACGTGACGAGGGAGATAAGTGTCCTCCAGGGCCCTGAGGTTACCCTAATGGTGTCATACATCACCACTCACAAAGCCATGCAGAGCAAAGTTGTCAATGCATGAATGCTGCACTATTACTATCAGCCATTTTAATCATGGCAGCTGTCACTGCGCTAATCAACACCATAACTTCACACTGGAAATCACACTGAAAAGCCTCTCTCATGTTGCTATGTACCAAGAACTGTGTTCAACGCAGGCAGTGAGTTATGCACCGGGGCCGGTGGGCTGGATGTCGGCCACCATCCTCAGGGGCTGTGACTTTGTAGCGCATCGTTGCCCTTGTTTGATGGCGGCTTGGTTTCTCTTGAGAACTTGTTGTGACGTTGCTAAATGCTGCCTTTATGAACGTGCTAAAAGGGTTTACCTTACTGTCAACAACTACGCCCTCCGCTAAACACACACACACGACCCAGCGTTGCCACCTGAAAATACACAGAAGAACAAATGGGCACTTGCTTCTCTAAAGGTGTTCTTCCATTGCGCTGATGCAGACTGTTCAAATGCATCTTATCCGAACTTCGGCTTCTAACTCATTATGCTATGGAGGAATTTTGAGCTCCTCTCCCTTCTTTCTTCGTTCCACATTTTACCATTTACCGGCACTTCAGTCAACTCCATCTGTCACACCTGCCATTCATTTGGTTAAAGCTGCAATAGCAAATTGGAACATAGCATAGCTATAACTATACTGTAGAGATCATTTGTCTATAAACCTCTGCCAAAAACACGGCTCAGACCGAAACTAGCCATCTGGTTGTTGGTCTTGCCGAACTGAGCACTTCTGCAACTTCCCGGGTCCTCAACTCATCACACACTCCCGTATTTAGCAACAGGACACCACTGGTGTGAGAGGTTCTCCGCTCAATATCATCAGAGAAGTAGGGATGCAAGGATACCACTTTCTTCCAAACCGTTACGATACCGATACTTGGATCTGAGTACTCGCCGATACCGATTACCAATACCGATACTTCTACCACACAAAAAAATGCAATGATTTGGAATACAGATTTTACTTTCTTCTCTGCTTTCAACAGGAAAAGACTGTGAGGTAGATAAAAAGTAAAATATATGAATGGAAATCCTAACAACACTAAAATATTAGGTGAACAGACATGACAAGTTACAGTGAAGCCATTTTCAAGCAACTGCATTGGTATCGGTTAACTTTTACCGATACCGATACTGGTATTGGTATCAGTATCAGTGCCAATACCGATATCAGTATCGCATTGGTGCATCCCTACAGAGAAGGAGAAACAGCCGGCTGCTACCACTTCAACTTTAGGACCAACTACCAGAGTCCCAGAAAGAAAAACACCACTGACAACCAAAGATGTTTGGACCAAAAAAATGGTGACTGGTGTCACGAGAGCGCTCTCTCGTTTCCTCTGACAACGTGTACAGTCATGTGAACATCTTTTTTTTTTTTTTTTTTTTTGAATACCTAACATGTTGACGCAGGTAATAGCCATACATTTCGGTATCGATACATTTTGATATATCGCCCACCTCTGGTAGATCTCATCAGTTCTATTGTTTTACGTCAACGCTCAGCAGTTCAGATCGGGCCAAACAAGAACTCAAACATGGGAGCGGTGTAAAACATCCAGTAACTTTCAAATTAAAACAAAAGTGCAGATTTTCTGTTGCTAGAAACTATCAGTGCTTGTTCAAATGTATGTTGTGGCCATTTTTGACCAACAGCTCCAATTTTAACCCCTTTTTCCCTGAATTTGTTTTTGACTGTTATATTCAAAACACACTAAAGCAATCTATTCATTTCATTTACATAGACTTTTGGTGGTCTTGTGTTGGTTTCTCTTGTATTTAGCAGGAAAATGTCTGGGTTGTAGGTGGTTTGATGCAACTTAAATGTATTTCGTGCTCTGATCTGAAAATGAGCAAAGAAAAACCCGAGTCTTCAATGTTCTGTCTGGAGTGGGACATGTTTGACATTCAGGCCCGGTATTGTTGGATAAATCACCCGCCCATTAGTCCTTCCAAGACGTCTTGGCCAGGTCATGTCTGCAAATGAGAACATGCTCTCAAAAAAAACAATAAAATAAAAAATATATATAAATTATAGCAGGCATGCAGTGGCACCTGTGTACAGCCAAACATTCATTAGTTACGCTCTTTTTTATTATGAGGATATAAAGTTTTAAAATATTTAGCCATTACAGATATATTTGCGTGTCCCCCTAAAAATTCCCAAATGTGATGGATTCCTCGAAGGAAGCTCAGAGGATCTTCATCTTCAGGTGAGAGCTATCATGGCCCTCCCCTACTTACCACTGAACCATTAGAGCCTCATTTTAAATGGAAGTGATGGACCTGATCCCATCTTAATCATAAATGAGACCCCTCCTGCACCTTCCTCCCCATCTTTACTCCTCTCCATTCACCTCCACCCAGCTGCTCGCTCTTCCTCTCTGAGGGTTAGGGCAAACGCTGTCTCAGCATTCTCGTTTTTTCCTCCCTGACCCCTCCACCTATTCCTTTTCTGTCTTTTCCAGCCCATCGCTGATCGGGGACATCGGTTCCACTGGTGTGACTCCTCCATCGCCACTTAGGAGATGCAGAGTTTGGTTGTCCCTGAGACATGGGAGAAGGAGAAAGTCTGAAGTAAGAGGGGGTCACAGCAATGACAAGAGGCCCCAGAAGGCCTCTCCAAAGTTTTAGAGTCCAGGATAGTGCAGAAGAACGCCTCTATAAGATGATCTTAATCCAGAAGCACTATTCTACACATACTCTTTATTTAAGAAGTCTATTACCTCAGCAGCCTGAACGATATCTCACAAAATCATTTTACACTCACACACATCTTCTATCATCGACTGCTTTAGTTAAACACAACATGGTGAAAAATACTGGGCTGGCAAAGTTTTCAAAGAGTTGCTTAAAAATGTGTTCTCACCTGCAGGCGGTGCGTATTACTGTTCACACACACACCAGCACCTCTGTGCCCCCTCGCCTTCAGTCACTGTCTGTCCTGCAGGAGGTGAATGTCAAACTCTCCAAATTAGACGAAACATTATGGGAAATATTATGAGGCAGCCTGCTGGTGTGATGGCTAGGGGCTTCTGGTTAATTGAGTTGTTGCCCGCGCTGCATACTGAACAGGAGCCGATTAGAACAATGACTCTCTGTTTGAAGATGTTTGATCTTTATTATTTAATGAGCAAACGAAACAAAAAGACTGGCGATGTAAAAGAGGGGAGTCAAACAGGGCAGAAGAAAGGGTATTTTGCACGTTTGTCTATTCTTTATGGGGGTTGCAAAAATTCCCAATCACAAATCCAGCACACTCTCACTCTCTCTCTCTCTCTCTCTCTCTCTCTCTCTCACTCTCTCTCTCTCTCTCTCTCTCTCTCTCTCTAACTCTACCTCTAAAAGTTTCTCTGCTGAACTCAGAGAATAATTTCCCTCCCTTAAGTCTGACACAGAAATCTTTCATCCACAGTATTAGTGTGAAAAAGGACAGAAATGGCGTTCTTAAGACAGGTGGACAAAAGTGAAATGATCATTGTTGCGAACAGGCTGAGAAGTAAAATGTAGTCATTAATGTCAAAGCATATATATGTATGTTGTCACGTTTCCAGCCCTCCAGCCATCCACTCGACATCAGAAATCACCCACAACTCCACTTCCCAGCATTCCCCTCATTGGTTTCTGCCTCTCCACGTCGTCACGCTTACCCTATTTCAGGAATACTTTCACAGCAGGCTGTGGTGTAGGTGTTTTCCGCTCACACCGCCCAGTGGCTCCCTGGTCGTAGCCGCCTATCCAGTTCAAGTCGGACGACCACAGCTCAACTCGTTCTGTTGTCACAGCACGGAAAAAAAATCAAACTAGTGATTTCTCTTGGCGTTCAGTTTATACATTCAAACAGCACAGCACTCTATTTAAACTACTTACAAGTAAATCTGTTATTTGTCCATCCATCCATCCATTTTCACCCACTTATCCGGAGTTGGGTTACAAGGGCAGTAGCGTCGAGAGGCCCAGACTTCCCTCTCCCCAGCCACTTGGGCCAGCTCCTCCGGGGGAATCCCAAGGGGTTCCCCGGCCAGGTCCGGTAAGAAGTCCGCTCCGACAGCTTCTGGCGTTTTTCAAAAGTATCCCAGGGGCACGGTAAGGGTCAGAGATGTTTAATCTATTTAATTTCTGACTATATAAAACGATTTCTTCTGTTTTAAAGTGTGAAGTAAACTCCCACGAAGTAAAATCCAAGCCGATCCCGTTCAATTTGTTTACATTTGTTGCCTGCCAACATGGCGTCTACTCTCTGAGAGTCACTTGACGTCCGGAACTCTATTGGCTAGTGGTGCTCAATTCGAATTGCATGGGGCTCTTTGGGAGAAGGGACAGGCTTAGTAAAAAAAAGGTTTTACGTATTGCCGATATTAAATCAGTGCAGCGTAAGTTTATCACTTTTACAGATTTCTTAAAAACCATACATCATTTCTGAAAGGGGGAAAATTTCAAATTGCTGCTTTAATTAAGTGCAGGTCGAGTTAGCGTTCAAGCTAGGTTTGTGTGCTAAGTTGACAGAGGTTAGTCTGCATTACCTCGTAATGCATGCCGGGAACTGGGGAGCATTGACGGCACCCTCTTGTGGATACGTAAATCTATTGGTCAACGTTCTAGGCTTTTATTATTGGTTTTGCTGTAGAGGCCAGGGGAGGGACTTAGGGGAAATACAAATTATTAAAGATTAAATTACTTTGTAGATGTATTTTATATATTTACATTGAAATGAACCTTGTCCTGGTAGTTAGAACAAGCTCTTTGCACTCTGAAGGGATCTGGGAGCTTCTGGTGCCCACTTCATCAACATTTCTCTGTGGATCAGTGTCCTTCGCTGGCAGAGCACATCAAGTCAGAGGGGACATCGTTCACAGCTGCCTCTTGTCACACTGGCCAGCTCATTAGCTGGACTTAATATACACTAGAGGAGCCGTGAGGCTTCGTGTCAGTCTGTATGAAGTAGCTCAAGGATGTGTACAAGTAGGACACCACTCTTACAGGTGCAGCCTAGAGTCAAGAGCATTTCTTACAGAGCTTGATTCTTTTTTTCTGTCTTTTTGCTGTCCTTGTTTAGCCAAGTGAACTAGACCAAGTTCTTGCTTTGCAATAATACATTTATTTAGTCTGGCTTGCCAGGCTAGTCCTTGTTGACTCCAGACCAAAATCATTAAAGGGATCTCAGCAAGTTTCTTTTCATGGCAAAGAAGGACTTTGCAATTCACCCGGTCTCTCTTCATAACATTGTGGTTCAGCTGCCAACATTAAACTGAAGCAGTAAACTGTCTGAATAGAGCTCCGGGAGTTGACGTCACTTCTCCCGGCATGCAACAGTTCAAATCGAAACGGCGCCATATTGGCATGCAGAAGCCGGCAGCTGGACTATTTGTTATTGTCAGAAAACTTAATCAAACGGGAAATATGGTAGATTCCTGTTGTGCCCCAGGATAACAGAACAGACGGGGTCGACATAAGGAATGAGCCATCTACAGGATTCCCCAAGATCCGGAGCGCCACAAACGTTGGATCATTGTAATAAAACGCACTAGTGACCGGGCGAAAATGAAGCTGTGGGATCCCGAGAGTAAAGGATTTCGCTTATGCAACGACCACTTCATATCAGGTACTTAAACCAACGTTTCCTCAACTGTGTATGGTATTTATTTTAAATGCTTTTATTACGATTCTTAGTGGGCTTCCTAAACTTATTTTGGCGTGGCTTTTTCTGTCTTATTACTCATAGCAACAAGTAAACATCACGTAAAACGTTGCCTCGTGATTTCTGCGTGCTGCCGTTTCCGTGTTTTATGATGACAGCAATTAACCGGCTAAGCTGTATTTAATTTTTAAGCAATGGTTGATCAATTGTCAGATCACACATAAAAAGCACTTTGGATTGCTATTATCTGTCTCACCGAGACTACTTACGTGTAAATCTGTTATTTGTCCATCCATCCATCTATTTTCATCCGCGTATCCGGAGTCGGGTTGCGGGGGCAGTAGCGTGACTTCCCTCTCCCCAGCCGCCGGAGCCAGCTCCTCCGGCCGGGGGAATCCCAAGGGGTTCCCCGGTCAGGTCTGGTGTTGTGCCGGTAAGAAGCCCGCTCCGACAGCTTCTGGCGTCGGAGCGGGCAGTAGAGTCGAGAGTCCCAGACCTTCTCTCCAGCTCCTCCGGCCGGGGGAATCCCAAGGGGTTTCCCCGGTCAGGTCCGGTGTTGTGCGCTTCTGGCGTTTTTAAAAAGTATCCCAGGGGCACGGTAAGGGTCGGAGATGTTTAGTCTATTTAATTTCTGACTATATAAAACGATTTCTTCTGTTTTAAAGTGTGAAGTAAACTCAGACGAAGTAAAATCCAAGCGGATCCCGTTCATGTTCATGGTTACATCCGTGTTTGTTTACCTTTTTTGCATGCCAAAATGGCGTCCACTAACTGAGAGTCACGTGGGGTCCGGAGCTCTATACCAATGATTGTGTGATTCTTAGACTTTTACAACATAGCTGTAGGCTGTTAGGTTGTGCAAGTATTGGTTATTTATTGATGACACAATTTTCAAATTATTTTATAACCTTAGCATTTTAAGAAATGTAGCTAAAACGAGTTTGTTTGGTTAAAAAAAACTAAATTTCTTTTATAAGAAAATGAACCAGTATTGTTGCTTTGAAAAGTTGTGTATTTATCACAGCCCTTTAGGTTAAAACAATGCTTCCTCCCACTGATGAGAACATCCACTCCAGAGAAAACCAGCGGCCAGCTGACTCCTCGCTTTGTCAGCCCGGCCCACTCTCAGATGAGGACCACATTGCGACCATTGTCTGGCTTAATGTTGGTTTCTCCAAGAAGAAAGGGGGGGAAACTTGTGTAAACAAGCTACAGCTTTAGCATGTGAATGTCACTGCATGCGTTGTTCCTGCTGGCATCATGTATTCATGCCTAAACTCTGGACACGAAACTCCCCATTTCCCAACAGTAAACTGTGAAAATCACACACTAGAAAAAAAACTGCATAAAACTGTTTTATTATCAGTGCATCAGAGCAGGAAAATACTGTCAAATATTTTAAACTTTCCTTTATCTTTCCGGGCTCTACAGTCGGTCACATAATAATAATAATAATAATACTAAGAAGAAGAAGAAGAAGAAGAAGAAAATATCATTTCTATATCGCCTCTCAAGATAAAAATCACGAGGCGCTTCACAAAAATATAAAAAAGAATTTAGAAAAATGGTTAAAAATATATTTAAAATGAGCAAAAATAGCCAATTGTGATTAAAAAGCAAAATGTTAAGAAAGAGAGAGAGTGAACAGGAAAGAGGGAAATCAGTGGATCCTGAGGAAGGTGGAATAGGTGGGGAGAGCAGAATAAAGAGAGAGTGGTGATGAAGGTCATACAAAAGCCAGCTTGAACAGGTGAGTCTTCAGCTGCTTTTTAAAGGAGACCACTGAGTCCACTGATCTCAGTCTCAGGGGGAGAGAGTTCCAGAGTCTGGGGGCCACAGCAGCAAATGATCTGTCACCTTCGGTCTTTAGCTATGCTTTCTCCCTCTTAACTGTTGTTGGTTATTGAAGTGTTTTTATTAATAATTAAAAATTTGGATGTTATATTTTCTGTATTTTTCACCAATAGGAGCAGCCTAGTAATAAAATTTAGCTGATGGAGGTAAAATGTGACGGGGCAAAATGAAAAAAAACCTGCAGGCCTTGTTCAATTTTGTGTGTGTCATTTTTTGTGTTGTTTGTGATTTTAAAATTTTAGTTATTTTTTATGATATTAATCTTTATATTATGTGCACTTTGGGGTAACGGCCGTTGCCATTTATATGCACTACACAAATAAACTTTGACTCGACATTTTACATCACCAGCAGCTTTGAATGGATGTAAATCTTTAATGTTACTGAGAATGCTTTTTGGTGCTGATCTGTGACATCACTCACTGCCAAAGCAGTCGCGATATGTGACATCTGTGTAAAGTCCCGAGCGGTCTGAATTTGTGTGGAGGCACAATTTCCTCATTCCATAAATTACCCTAATGCTCTGACAATGGAAACATGCCTTGCATCACCACCAAATGATCAAGTCCCCCATTAGAAATAGGAAAACAGTGCTAATAAATAAAAATAAAAAAGATCTAACCCTGCTGGAGGACCCCCCCCCCCCCCCCCCCCACACACACACACACACACCAGCTGCAAATGACAAGACCCCCACCCCTCAGTTACCTCGACTTCATGACTCCCTTTGTGCCAGGTAGCAACAACGCATGACAACAAGGCAGCTTTTGTTTTTAACTTGGTAAACAGGAAGTTTCTGCCCTGGGGGCTAAGTGAAGACGGTCACCACCAGGAGCGCCAGCCATCTTTAAATTCCCTTTAGTGGTGTGACCTTTGACCCTGCCTCAGAGAAGGTCAGACAAAACTTATCTCTCAATGAATAAACTGTCCCCTTTTAAAAGACTGCATGGTAGTAATTGCCTACAGTCCATGTGTGAGTGTTCTCTTAGTGGTGTGTGTGTTGGTTCGTTATTTACAGCGAGAAACTGTGGCATGAATTGCTCATTTCTCATAAATATCTTAACATTGTTATATTTTAAGATGCAAAAACTGGGACTAAATTTTATGGGAACATAATAATAACAGGGAAACGTGAAATATGTAAGTAAAAATACAAAAACAGTGAGTCACTACCTTCTTGGGATATACCCACTTTACGCTTTGGTGGTAAAATTATTAACACAATCACACAGAAACAAAACAAAACCGTCCCAAAAGAAACGTTTCTGCAGCATTAGGCCCGTTTCCACTATCAGAACCTCGGAGTAATTTTACCAGACCATCACGGTGTGCGCGTGTCTCCAGTTCATCGGGACATTTCAGGCACCTGAATTGGGTTTTGTACTCAGAAATGTCCCAGCAGAGTCACTTAGCGGGACGTGTGGTTACCTCGTGCTGACTGGTTGTTGTAACTTAGTGGGAAATGACATTGGCAGACGTCACCAAACAAAAGACAAAACCGGAAGAGTTGCTGGTGACGTGGAATGGAAGAAAAAGCTTTAAAAGTCATTTCTCAAGTACCAATGTCGAATAATGCAGCAGAAACCCCTCCACAACATTGTAATTTACGCTGCTTTGTGGTCTCCTACAGAGCACCGTAAATAAACTGCACTCCTGGTCATAACTGGCCACGTAGCTGCTCTGCCCGTCCCCTGATTGGTTTAAATTACAGCATGCATGGACAGAACAAAATGTTGAATGCTGTTATAGTATGTGGACGCCTTTTAATGCTTATTAGTGGCGTCACGCACTGCAGAAGCAGTCCCGATATGCTGACGTCTCAGCAAAGTCCTAAAAGGGCAGATTTTGGACAGAGCTATCATATTTTCACTGTCACCTCCCCCCCCCCCCCCTCCCAGAAATTTCCCAGATCTCCTGTAGTGGAAACACGGCCTTTGCACTCACACAAAAACTCTCAAACTTCCATCCCTGACTTTGCCTCATTATGTATGCAGAATCCACGTCTTTGTGTAAACCAGTGGAGTAGAGCAGAGGGAGAGGGGGGTTAGTGAATGTTTTCCACACACTAATCAAACTCTTAAGTCACCAGGGCACTTGGAAGCACCACACAAGCTGCAGACATTAAAAATCAATCGGAGTGTCTGCTGCGTAAACAAATAGCTATGATTATTCCAACCTGCCATCCTCCGACGCCATTAAAACATCCTTCAATTAGGCAGCAGCCCTGAAAGATACCCAGAGCCTAAACAAAGCCTGTTCCCCACCTCTCTGTCACGTACAGTCACTCCCACCGTGCAGCTCCCGCTCCCCTCAGATCTGCACACCTTTCACTCATCATGATGTGTCAACAGTTTGCAGGAGAGGGAGCAAAGATGAACAACACTTTGACCCAAGCCAAGATGGCACTGGGGCTTCAGACACACAAGCTTCATTGTTCCTGGACTGGATCAATCAGAAAACACCTCAAGGCCTTTTTTTCTGAACTTTGGCCACACAGCGGGGTGTTTAGGGCTTGTTTCAGTCCAGTCAGGGATTGAAGAATTCAGACCCTTTTCTTATATACTTCATGAAAACTTCAGTTTAGAATCAAGTTTTTTCTTTTCTCTCATGAAACAGTTAAGCGTCTGCAGAGAGTAACGACATTTTTTCATATCATATCATGAAAAATAATCCGGATAAGTCCATAGGCTGCATCGTAATGAAAAACTGAAAACAGTGTGTTAATGCAATGTAAATATGCAAATGGGATCGTTATGATCTAAATAAGTCTGAATTAGATGACAAACACACACAAAGATGATATTAAATCTGTTAAAATGATGGCCTAAAATGGAGCAGCTTAGCATCCCAATCGCCTCTCTTTGTGCACTAGTTCTGCGATTTTAAGGCACAATTGAAGCTTTTTTCACTCTAATTCTAAAAGCCTAATTAAAATTCAACATTTTTTATTAAATAAAGTTGCTTCGTACACTTTATGAAACGTGACAAAAGCTACCAGCCTCGCCTCAAACCCAAAGTGTGTGTTTCCACCACATCCCAGATGGAAGGAAACACTAAATCCAATTGATTATCATTAACTGATCAGTTGCATTTAAGTCCAAATCTAATATTTTCTCAAGAAATTAGCCTATTCAAAGTGGGAACACTCCTTTAAGTGGCACCAATTTTGGCCATTAAAATGTGGAAACAAAGCTTATTTGGGTCACCTCAGGTGGTTTTCCTTTAGCGCTGCTGGGGAGTTCCTTCTAAGTTTAAATATGAAGCATGCTGCTCAAAATTAGAATAAAATAGATTGTGCAAAAAATATATAAATATAAGAGGGTGCATAATTGCTTCAGCTTCGACTTTTTTATCCATCCATCCATCAATTTTCTTCCGCTTATCCGGAATCGGGTCGCAGGGGCAGTAGCCTAAGTCGAGAGGTCCAGACTTCCCTCTCCGCAGCCACTTGGGCCAGCTCTTCCGGGGGAATCCCATGTGTTCCCTGGCCAGTTAGGAGACATTGTCCCTCCACCGTGTCCTGGGTCTCCCTTTAGGCCTGCTCCCGGTTGGACGTGCCCAGAAAACCTCACCAGGGAGGCGTCCAGGAGGCATCCTGACCAGATGCCCGAGCCACCTTTAATCAAGGAAAACGTGGATTCAAAAGTCTTCGGGAGATTCTGCATTTGAAAGAGTGTCCATGCAAAATATTGTTCTAAAGCTAATATTGCAAGTCTGCAACAGTTTAAACTGAGTCAGACTTTAGTTTTAAATGTGGTTAGGGACATATGTTTGAGTCAAACTGTTAAATAAAAGTTTCAAGTGTTCCAGACCACCACCGAAGTTATCCTAAGTCATCAAATCTGAACGAAACTTTGGAAAATTCTGAAAACAAAATGAGTAAGTAAGCAAGAAAATAAAAAAGTCAAATTTTATTTATAGCACCTCTTCAGACAAAAATGACAGTGCTTCACAGATGTGGGAAAGAAATAAAAAAAACAGGATAAATCAAACCTGAACAGATTTGAAAAGCTTTTTAGCTAGTGCTCAAAGAGGACACATTATGCAAAATGCGCCATTTGCATTCTTTTGTGCTGCCATGTGGGTCTCTACTGCCTCTGTAAACACTCCAAACTTTATAAAATTATGTCCATCCATTTTCTCTCAGGAGAGCCACTGTTGTTTGAGGAGCACTATGAGCCCCTCCTGGATATCGGAGCTTCTTAGCTTATAGCAGCCTGACCGAGGGAAGGACGGGCGTGGCCAGCTCCAGCTTGTTTGTTTTACAGGTGTGGAAATCTGAAAAAAAATTTTATTGAATGAATGTTTCTGATAATATTTGGTCACTGTGAGTTTTTCATGCAGGCTGAACATGAAAATAGTCTCCTACACCTATCTCCTGCATTAGCTTTTGA